TATTGTATGTTCTTGTGACGAATCCCTCTAGAAAAACAAATAAAAGAATAGATTCCAAAAATTAAGGAGTGTAAGTTCACAATAAACATCTGAAACTGGATGAATCTAAAAGAGGAAGTGGGTATGAATCTGACGCGCATCTTATTCTTGCAATATGCGATATGTTTGCCTTTAAAGAAGCAACGAAGTTGGCATTGTATAGAATGCGCCTAGACTGCGAATGCGCAGCCTTAATTTTTGCAATAGGCCTTTGAAGAAGCATCTGTGATCCAAATTTTAAAAAGATATCTTGATAAATATGACAGGCGATCGCGTACCCTGCGCATGCGCACATTAATCTGATGTTTGTAATAAGCAATACGTCTGCTTTTAGCAAAAGCATCTTTGGTTAAAATTTGCAAAGAAATATCTCTATAAATAAGAATGTTGGCATTGCGCTATCATTCTGCGCATGCGCACAACCAATTTTTGCTATATGCGAAATGTTTGCCTTTACTAGAAGTATCTGCGGTTAAAATTTCAACAAAATATATTAACAAATAAGAAAGTTAATATTGCGCACGCACACATTAATCTTCAAAATTTTTCTTGGCTCGGGTGCCAGAGCTATAAGTTACCGAATTCAAAAATAACGAACTAAATATATAATGAAAACTGTAAGAGTAATTAAGACCTCGGGCGGACGGACAGATGAACAGACAGAGAAATGGACGGACGGACAGACAGAGAAAGTGACTGCAATTTCGTTGGAAAATGCGCTAACAATTTCCATAAAGATTAATTTGCGAATGCGCAATGTCAACTTTCTTATTTAGGAGATATTTTAACCACAGATGCGTCTAGTAAAGACAAGCATATTGCATATTGTAAAAATCAAATGTGGGCATACGCGAACTACGCAATGTCAACTTCCTTATTTACGGGATTTTTTTTGAAATTTTAACCTCCAGATGTTTCTAGTAAAGACAAGCATTTTTTCAAAATCAGACGTGAGCATGCGCATTCTGCGCATTAATGGAGATAATATTTCTTTGAAATTTTAATCATAAATGCTTCAGAATCTTCGAATTCAGCAAAATTCAGTTCCTTTCAGTTCTTCCGATATTGCAAACTTTTCAGATTTTTATGATTCCTTGGACTCTTCAACTCTTTCAAAATCTTTCGGTCCTTTAGATCCTTAAGATTTTTCAGATTTTCTCTTCCGATTCTGCAGATTTTTGATTTTGATAACATTTAAAATACTACTATATTATTTATTTATTTAAATTTTGAATGGGCAGGGTTTCAGTCAAGGCTGCTCTACCAACCTAACCTACTCTACATTTACAAATGTCCATGCTTGAACCCAGATTCGAACCAGGGACCCTTAGACCAGCAGTTTTACCGGAAAAGTAAAAAATTGTCACTATAGATAATTGATTTTCCTATTTTATATAACATAATAATTATTATAAAATCCAGGAGCAATATTTAGTTGACGTTTGAAGAAAAAAATTCGTTCCCCATTTATAAATTAAAGGTTACTCTTCAGCAAAAAGTGTTTTTATTTTACAGAGTCGAGGGGTTATGACCGTTGCTGTGATGTACCGCGTGGACATGTACAAGGTCCTCTGTTATTCCCATTGCAAATACACTCACATCGTCTCTAACCATCTAAGCTTAACACTGTTGCAACATAGATCTCTCAACCATATCTCTGGTAGAAATAGAAAATAGTACTTGAAATATTGAATTATTTTCATCAATGTTTTTTTTGTACCATCAACTTTCACATTAAATTGCATAGTCTTCAATGCAATGTCAATTCAAACTAGAAATCAAATGATACGACTTACCCAGACCGCACCCTTAAGATTCATAGAGCCGACGGATTCATAGGCTTCGTGAATTTCATAGTGAATCATTCATATAGTATGTACGATTTTATAGGATCGACAGAATTCAGTGATACGGTGCAAATGGTGATATAGAATGTAGACGAATGTGACGCAATCTTTCCTGGAAATATGTTTTGTTCTAGAATGTTCGAGAACATTCAGCAGCACTCGAGTTTGCTATATAAGTAAATCGAAATGCAATTCAGGATAGTTCCAATTTCAACACCGAAGTAATAAATGGTTCGCGTTGTTCACGGAATTCATAGAATACATAGTGTTGGAGGTGGTAATTTTATTTTGCTCGGAAAGCGTCTGATTCTGAAGATAAACTTTTGATGTGACCAGTACTGAATTTTTTATTCAAAATTTACAGATTGTATGTGTCGTCTAGAGAAATGTGTTTCATTGTGTCATAAGATAAAACGACGCAGACACAGGCTGCTACGTCGATAGAGCTATTTTTACAAAAATTTTGCTGTGCCGCCAAAAATGATCCAGAATTTTATTTTTTTTGTTATATGAAGCTGGTCGTAGGGTAGTAGGGTACCTTTATCTAGAAAATGAGAAAAGTGGATGAGATTTGTACTGATCCTTTACATGGATGTAGTGAGAAGCGGTCGAAAGGATAGATAATACCACATTTTCACGTTCAAGAAGTACCTTTTTGAACCTCCTCTATCTTTCTCTCTCCTTTTATAATCTATTTCGGATCCCGCCGTATTCAGTGCCTTCGCAATTCCGGTTTTAATATTCTGGCGAAATCCTTGGGAAATTTTACGTACAGGGTGTCTCAAGTAGGAGGTATGTATGACGTCGGTATTAACTTGTTTGAAACGGAATGCTCTGCATAGTGTGACAGTTTTTAAATAATAGCGTTTATTTTCGAAACTCGAAAACCCGGAAACAGTCGAAATTACATTACATTACGATTCTTTCAAATTTTTCTTAAAATTGAGAGTAGAATTGAAATAGGGCGTTCTGCCTTTGTGAGTACTCTCATCCTACAGACCGTTTTTGAGATATTCGCTGTTAAAGTGTTGACATCACCAATGGATATTGTCCAATCACCCCTTGATATGAGGAATTATCACGATAATAGGTCGAGGAACAGCCCCTCATGCAACAAAATTTGATAGCTGTGTTAGGCACATCTTCAACATATGGACTATACCTTTTGCAAAAAAGACTAGAACAATTGTCCTAAAATTTTTTCAAAAACCGCAGAACTGAGTCCGGACGGACGGACAGACGGACGGACAAAACACAAACAACAGCACATTTTTTTTTATTCTTCAAAAATGTCTTCAGCTTTCAAGCTATTAATACAAGCTACGCTATTCCGAGCAGGTTAAGTATTTAATCTTAATTGTTATTTTGAGAACTGAGAACATTAGCACTAAAACGTTTTAAAGATCAACGTTGATGTGCCAAACTTAAACAAATTGAAGTAATTGATGAAGTTATATGACCGAAAAGATCTGCTTTAATTTTATTAGTCCAAGTCTTTCGTTTCGCTCATAGCCAGACATGAGTAATATCATTGAATAAGTTACTTATTCAATGGTAATATGGAAATTCTTAGAAAGTAAATTTTAAACAGAAAAGGTTCAATAAGTAGGTAACCACACACAGATATACAGAGCGTAACATTGAGTGGTATACAGTACCACAAATAACTGTTCAAAGTGTCCTAAGGATTCCAAAGTTTGCGCTTCTTCTATAATTTTTTAACGTTTAGGAAGATAAAACAACCCTAGGTGTTTTGACATGCTTTTGCTGATGGGTCATTGGTTTGTTTGTCGAGCAACCAATACTTACCTACTTATACAGTGTGTTAGGACATATTATGGTAACAAAGAGATAAGTTTAGCTTAGGGACTGGTAGATTTGATCAAAGTTTAGGAGAAAGGTGTCAAAAAGAAACTGTGTAAAATTTGCAAGGAGCGTGAGAGGGAGCTTGAAAAATGAGAGGAACAATGAATTTTAGAGAAATTTGATGGGAAAGATTTGCCAGAGAATACACTTAAGACAAAATTGAGCAAAAAGTTTGAAGGGAACTTGAAGTGAATTTTGAAAGGATTTGAAATTTGAGACGCGCTTATAATCAAAAGAAATTGGGAAGTTCAAAGCTAATTTTAGAGGACCTTCAGTACAGATTTAAGCAAATCTAAAATAAACTTGGAAAACATGTTACAAAAAAGCGAGTTTCGGGGAAACTTTAAGAAACAGTTTGACGATACTGGGGAGAACGTAAAGAAAATTTGAAAACTTGCGACGGATTTGAGAAAAGCTTGGGAAAACATGACGGGAACTTCAGGGTCGTTTGAGAGCAACTTAATCATGAACTTTTTTGATTAATTAATTTGACGTGCACCCAAAACACTTATAAAATATAAAAAGGTTATAAGGACGATGACACTTACTCCCAGGTTAAGGAAACGGTTAGGGTTAGACACAAAAAAATCCCTACTGAAACCAACAATGCTACCAACAATTTTGGATTTGTGGTTATTAGGAAAATCAACCGTAAAACAAGAATCCCGTCTTGGTTTGGCGGCACCAACAAAGAGAACGCGGTATCTCTTCAAAAGTGAACACATTGCGAGACCGTGCGAAATTTTCACAGAAACTTCCGAATACTCCATACAGAGAAATGATCAGCAGAATAGCCCCTTTTGTAGTTGGTTCTCAGTCAAAAGGGGCATTCGTGAAATATCTTTCCGGAAGTAATACAAATGCCTTTATTTATAATTTGTGACTTAGGTAACTTCCTTAACAATCGTCTATTTCTAATTTGATAACTGGGAAGTGGTTTGGTTCAAATGACATAAAGGGAAATGACAACATCACATGATGGACATCCTTCCAAGGATACATACATTACCTACCTATCCTTGTTCTGTCGAAGTGTTTCGGTTTGTCGTGCAAAACGTAAACAAACCCGTCACGTTGTCGTAGGGATTTCTCCTTAGGTTTGTCATCGTATAGTAGGTATTCCAGGAGTTGAGGGAACCCGGATGCGGTTACCCGAATACGTCAGCGGGTATTACACCATCTTATTAATAACAGTGATTAAAACGCAACAGACTGTATGTCTTTTTTTGTATAAACAATTAATTTACGTACTTATCTACATTATTTATTACAATCTTAATAATTTACACTTAAATCTACACGTCACAATTCGTTTCGGTTAATTTGGTAACATTGGTTTTTTTGGTGAAAGCTGCCATGGTAATCGAAAATGCCTCATTGAGCAACAAAAGGTGCGTTTTGAGAGTTACACGTAGGATTTGATATGTTCATCGTAATATGCGTAGGGAGTGTTACCTACAGGCGGTGATGGTAGCGATGTCTGGATTGATGGAGGCGGTGAATTCAGGTATGACTTTCGATTACATGGTATGGGTTGCATCGTTCCACCTGATGTACGCATCACTGTAAATAAAACAATAGGTATTATTAAATCTCGTAAATCAACTTCTTTGAGCAATTAGTATTTATAAATAATAGTCCTTTTTAAAACGTAAGGACACATTTATGAAGACATATGCAGTATGCTGCTCACATTCACGTAAAGCACCAGAGGTACGTTCTGAGTAACCTGATCTCTTTCTTTTTGGCATGTGCAGGCTAGTAAATGAGGAGTGATCCATTGCATTTCAAAGAGATTATGTGGAGTAAGGGTCAGAAGGGCATAGTTTCAGTATCTGAGCAAAGGTTCCAAAAATTGCTGTTTTTACTACAAAATTGCACACTACCTTCAAAGTCAGAAACGCACCGGACGCAACATTTTGTTTCGCAACATCTTGCAACGTTGCGAGCGACGTGCTTCCTTCATGGAATGGGTCTGACGCTTGCGGGTTGAAACGTTGCGCAACGTTGCGAAACAAACAGTTATAAATTATGGCGAAAATAAGCGGACTCGATGCAATGATGTTCTTCTTTGCGTTTATTGGGTGAGCCCAAAACCTATGGCCTTCTTTTCCATCCATCATTTAGAAAATTGCCTACCTATCCTTGTTCTGTCGAAGGAATAGACAAAGATCTATGATGTCGTCTATCTTTTTATTATTATACACAAACAACAAAATAATAATAATATCGTTTAAAAATACAGTAAAGCACGTCTGTTTTTCTCAAAGAAATACACTGCCCTGACTTTAAACTCTTGTTGCGCAACAAAATGTCGCTAAAAAAATTGACTTCCATTGCAACATTTTGTTTTTTGTCTTTTTCCTCTGGGACCATTTGAAGAAAAGGGTGTATGTCAACAAACCTGCTCCCTGCAGTTGCTTAAATCGCACCGCTTTTATTAGAACTTGTTACGGAAAACTTCACTGAAAGAACGGTATCATGTCAGCAACTCAGCATAGTCATGGAGAGCATTTGGGCAACATCATCTATTTTTTGTACTAAATTCGTATTTTTCAAATATTTTGTGTTCTATTCAAGAAACAAATCATAGACTCCAATCTGGATCGCTAAGATAGCGATGCTAATGCATCGAATTTGTAACATCCTGTATACATTAGAACAATTTCAAATTCGAATAGAATAGAATCATTTTCTACCAAGTTTTTTGCTAGTCTTCCAAGTATGTTAACTCCATTACTGATGAAAATTAAACACCCTGTATATATTAGAACAATATAGCGTTTTCGATTGGAAAAACTCGTGCTGCACGAGTGCAATTTTTACGTTCTATTGGTAATTTTAGGGCAATTTTCTGTGTTCCATTGGCAAATGTGATGCAACAATTACGCACTCAGTGCAAATTTCGACGCACGAGGTCCGAGAGCTCGTGGAGCTGCTAGTTAACAAATTTTCAAAACAAACGTGCGACAATTTGAATTTGTTTCTTGCGTTGGGAGAGTTTTTTGTCGTCATCTAGCGATAGCGAAGACGATGAACTAGCCATAACTTCTATTTTACAAAAAGTTGCACTTACTCATTAAACTGAACGCCAAAAATTGGTCCTTTACAGTTTCTTCAGTTTCTCGTGCAACACTCGTGCAGTACGAGTTTTGCCAATCGAAAACGCTATAATACTCATCTCATCTGTCATGGAGTTAAGATACTTGGAAGACTAACAAAAAACTTGGAAGGAAATGAGTATGTTCTATTCAAACTGGTTTCAGGGGGAAACCATAGAAAGTCTGGAAATGATATTATGAAGCAGGGTTCTGAAGATCGAATGGCCAGATATAGTTAGGAATGAAGATGCGTTACCGAGGATAGGGGAGAAGAGAAAGTTTTTCCCTCTAAGGCGTGTAAATTTAGCGCGTTTTCCTTACTAGAAGCATCTTTGGTTAAAATTTCAAAGAAATGTCTCCATTTGAGCGTTACTATATGCGATATGTTTGCCTTTAATAGAAGCATCTATGGTTAAAATTTCAACAAAATATTTTCTACTCCTATACTTTAATTGGTATACAGGGTGTTCATTTGAATTTTTATTTCAATAAGTGTTCAAAATGTTGCCCGTTATTGGCCAAACAATGATATAGGCGATGTTCAAGTTCGTGGCGGACATTTTCGAAAACTGACAGCAAATTAAAATCTTTCTTTCCCATAGCAGCAAATAAGTGATATTTTCGTTTATTTTTGTTTTCTATCTGAACAAATTAAGATAGGTCGATTAAATAAATTAAATAAATATTTTTCTAATTTTCTCGAAAACGAATCGACCGATTTAAAAAAAATCAAGTCAAAATAAAGGACTTCGAAAGACCTTTCAAACAAGCGATTACTCGATACCTTGTCATTTAAAATTTTTAAGGGAATTACCCTGCTGGGCACAACGTGAAAGGAGGTGAAGTGGTTTTTGGTTCAAAAGATCTAAAATTTATTAGTTTGGCATAGCATAAATGGCATAAATTTTGGAACGTTTTTAAAGCCTTCGTATTTATTACGAAACTCGCCAAGGCTCATTTCGTAATTCTCATACTCGTGTCTTAATAGCCCTCATTAAATGCTCATTGCATAATATACTATAATTTTGTCTATTATTTTTTTCCTATAATTAATAATTGATGTTTTTCCTATAATTAATAATTGATGTTTTTTAAATAATAATTCTATTTATTCATGTTCGCTCCTTTAGAACACCGAAAAAACTGGAACCGGAACCGAAAATCACTGAAACCACTGAACCGGAACCGGTACCAGAACCCTTACAAAATAATTCTACCTAAGTAGTATGAAACCGGAATCTATATTTCATATGGGGCACATAATTCAAAATAGGCTGACAAATTTGGCGATTATTAGCATAGAATCTAAAATTAATATTAAAATACACGGTATAATTAAAAACTATGCTAATTCAAAAGCTCGAAAAACTGATGAATGTACAAATTAAGTCTTGTGATTTAAGATTCCTAAATACATAAATGAAACCGAAACATCACATTGTACTTTTCTTTTTATTGACAGGGGGGCGCAAGCTGACCTTTCGCACCGCAGCACAGAATATGCTTAAGACGGCCCTGGTTTTCTATGACCTTCCAGCGCCAAGATGTTGTCCCTTACACGGACGGATGGACCGACAAAGCAATAGCCCACTTTACTTTTGAAGAATTGGTAACAAGAAAATTGTAAAGGATACAATCATGTCCCATTGAGTAATGCAAATGACTCATGTATATATTCGCCCTTAGCATATTTGCGATCGGAATATTGTATTAATAAAAAAGTGGCATAATATACGGCACCAAAAACACTCGATCTAGTTTAATGGGAAATAAATATAAGAAAACGGTCCAGGGGAAAAGTTTCGAACCACCAATCCACATTTACTCGGGCGAGCTTTCTCCAACGTAAGTATTTCTGAGGCGGGTTTTCCGGTGAGGAATGTTATGGGGTTGAAGTTTTTGAGGGTGGCAAGGACAAATTTATCTGGACGAAATGGTGTGAGAGCGTGTCCAATATAAGGATATCGATCATGGAGATCTCGGATAACATAATATAGAAGATACGAAAATGGTCAAATTAGAGAAAAGTTGCGCAATTAAACATTTATTATCATGCTGTAAACAAAACCAGAAAAGTTTGATTAGGTACTTCCAAAGATATGCCAGAGAAACCGAAATTTGCCGATTTGGTTTTTATTTTTGTCTGATATTTGAACAGATACGAAAAAATAGAGAAAAGTCCATCGCCACCATTTGAGCTCTACAAGAAGGCGTTGAGAGGCTTTTAATACATTTCGTTTACTTTATATTTTCGTATGACCCGTAAAAAAATACTCTATTGAATGGCATCTTCTAGTACGAATACAACGATATACGGCATACAAAAAAAGCAGACGTTGGAAACTGTTGGTTTCAACAGGATGGTGCATCCGCGCACAACGCGAATAGGTACCTATCATCCAAATTTCCTAAAAATTTAACAACCCAAAACTGTAATGGTAAAAGAATTTGCAGAAAATTCGAGTCCTTGAATGTATGAATTATAAATTTGAAATTCTACGCTTGAAGATTAGGTACTTGTTTAAAATTCCTAGGGTTTCAGTAGATTTAAACATTTTAAAAAATCAATCCAAGACAGACGTTTCAAAAAGCTTTCTAAAAAGACATGCGCGGATTTTTATTTGATACATCTACTGATGCTTAGAGTATGTTTTACAAAAGAAGTGAAACTTTACATCTAATACACTTTTGTTTTAAATGTTATAAGCTCCCTCATGAAGCATCCTTCGCAGAAAATTCCTAGTTTAGCATATCACAATCCCAAGTTGTGCATCCTTAGATTGAAATTCTACAAATATGTCTTGATAGCTTTTGCTCTTCCAAACATAAGTCAATATTAAAATTTTCGATGGCTGGAAAAATTATGAAGATTGCATATTTTTCGTATCTTAACACTAATTTTTCCGATTAGAGCACTAAAAAATTATATTGTAAAGTAGCGTTTTCGAGTGTTCGAAAATATGTCTACAAAAGAAAAAGGTAAACCGCCAGCATTCATCGTACTAAAATAAAAGCGCAATTTATTTTTTAGTGTGTACTTTCTTTCTCGGAACCAACACGAATATTCGCTCCAACAACCATTAGAAAATTCCAACTTGAGAAAATTCAAGAGGCCTGAAAGATCTGTCATTACGAAAAATTACCTTCTCGAGAGAAGGCGGTAAGGAATTTTTTACCCTTCAATAGTTAGTAAAGTCCAGAATTGACCATATGGATCAATTATTTCAAGAGTATTTCCTTTATTTTTATGTTGAATTTTGCTGAACGTTCCCAATTTTCTGAGTGACCGTGAGGTCAAATTTTCCTTAAAGATCGAGATTTTCGCGAGAGTAAACGTACTTGCGAAAATGAATATCCCGGCGCTGGTTTTTGAGGAGAATATTATCCCGTGAAGAATTTCCAGAAGCTAATCTAAGTGGAGAATATTTCGCAGGAGATCTTTTTTACCAAACGGAGACGAATTTTTGTAAGGACTCATGATCTTTTTTATTATCTTCAATGCCTTCATATGGATTTTAAGATTAGCTGAACACAAATTTTGAGACGAATATTACTGTATGGGAAAATTTTTGTTGGGAGAAGACGAAGTGAATATTTTGAGATCGAACTTTCGTGAGTATTTTCCGAGCCGAATCCTTTTTACGCTTCTTTTCCTTAGCACAAATTTTAAGATTTTCTTGTGGCTACGATGGTAAGCAAGAATTTTTCCAATAACAAAATAATGAGAAAAACACCCCATCTTTACAGCTCCCACGTGAAATTCTAAACTAAATTCGTAAATCTAAAAATTTGATATGAAGAATCGCATACGAATCATGTATAATTTTACCAGCGCGCATCGAAACTTAACTTTTCATTCGGCTCATTCAACAATAATAATCGTTACAGGAATAGATTGGGCGACGTTCAAACGAGTAGGTATAGGTACATAAAGGAAATTTTGTGAAATTAAACCCGCCCCTAATTTTTTTTTAAACTTTAACGTACCAGAAGCGATCTTTCGCGAATGAATTTTCTGGTATGAGTTTTCTTGGGGAACAATGTTTCAAGACGTGCAAAGGAATTTTTCGTATATTTATAGTATAGCGGCGGCGTATAGAAGCTCTTCTGAACATATTATGAGTGAAATTTCGGAGAGAAATTTTCAAAGGCCAATTTCCGTCAGAACATTTCATAGGGTGAATCATATAAAGAGGGCCAATTTTCCGCTTTTCAAACTTCGTGAATGAATTTTTCTAAGTTAAATTTTAAAATTTACTTGGGAAAAAAGTCCTGAAACCGCGGTGACCCGTATTCTGCAAGTCAATGTACATGACTCGGTACAGGGTGTTCTAGATCAAGTAGGATTGCATGGATAACTTGTCATAATCGAAGGTAGAGATTAGGAAAATGGGAAAGGTTTTCAAGTTTTAGGCGTTGACTAAAACTCTGTATAGAAACTGAAAAAATCGGACCCGATTAAGTTATTAAAAAAAATTCGATTAACAAAAAAATATAAAAATAGAAAATAAAAATATAATATGGCTGCCACTGACACATCATTAATACCTATCAACTCTTTATTTTTTAAATGGGTGCCATATTGCCTTTTTACATGATTAAATAATTTTTTATGATGTAAGACATGGTGCTATTGAACATAAAGATTATAAGTAAAATTCATTATTACTACATTTTAATCAAGCAAGCTGCTTAATTTTTTTGAACGCGTTTCGACAGCAAGGCTGTCATCATCAGCGAACAACTGAACAATAATAATATATAAATACGACCCTATTTATACTAATTACAAGTGAAGGTGACAGTTTACGAGCACTGATTGGCATCATTATGATGGTCCTTTAGGATCAGAGCTCGTAAACTGTCACTTTCACTTGTGATTAATATAAAAAAGATCGTATTTGTATTTTACTGTTCACTTGTTCGCTGATGATGACAGCCTTGCTGGCGAAACGCGTTCGAGGTTTTAAAATATTATTGTGGTTTCTAGGTGTTTTTGGTTTACTATATTTTATCATAATGAAAAATACTTTTACCCATTTAAAATGTCAATATGTATTAAAAAGAAAAGTTGACACAATCTTTTCTTCTAAACGTGAATTTTCCTCAGAATAAACTTCATGCGAAAATACTACTAATATTTTAAGGGATTTCTTTTGGAGGTAAATATTACGAAAAATTAATCCACCTGAAACTGGAAGGAGAGGGAGGTAAATTTCCGGTAAAAATACGAATATTACAGGGGAGAAATTTATGGGTACGAAGGTTTAAAGATAACGTTTAACCGTTTCTGAACGCGATCGAACTTTATGGTACAAAACTATACCGCGGAAGTCTTTTTTTCATCCAATATCTCAAGTGGATTGTTCTCGGAACTATCATGAGTGAAATGAAGAGATAATATTGAGAGCCAATTTCCCTGTCCGAACCTTACGGGGTTTTATGAACGTGAATATGCCGCGATCCGCATTCGAGGAAAAACACATCTGAAGCATAATCATACGTTTCTTTTGTCGTTATTTAAATTCTGAGGTCCTTCTGAACCATATGGATCCAGTTTTTCCATGAGGCGAATGTTAGAAGCAGGAACAATTTTCGACTAAGGGGACGATTTTCTTCAAGGTGAATATTCCAAAAACGAACTTTTTAGTGGTAGGTTTAATTAGAGTTTATTCAATGTTTAAAAGAAGATTTTCCAACGACCAATTTCCGTGGAGGAATGCTAAGGGCAAAATTTTTGTGTACTGCAAAGTAAAAAGGAAAATTTCTTGTCTTAGACGAAAAAATCCCTTACCTTACTTTGCAAGAGAACCAATTACTAACTTATTTCCATACGCACTTCTTGTCGTCTCATTTTTTGTCTAGCTCTTGCTATAAAAACCTGGAATTTTCTGAATTATTTTAAATTATGGCAAAGAGTAATTATTAAGTATTCTTTGCTTATGTAGAGAAATCTTGCTTCTTGCATATTTCCTTACAAGAAATTTTCATTGGTCCAACCAAAAAGAACAAGCTAAAAGTTATAAAACGCTAGAGAAAAATAAACTCTAGGCCAAAAGTCACTACTTTTAATTCTCACGTTATCCGAACGGAGGGACGAATGTGCAAAAGAGCACGTGAGAAATTCGACCTCAAGTTTAGACACACAAATGCGGGGAAATTATTGCGAATCTTCTGGAAGAGAGGTTCAATGCGAGTTTTATTAAGGGGGAGAATCTCCTACGATACAATTTTTTTGTCATATTTTACCTCCAAGGTTGTTCTTCAGTTCGAGAATTTAGCAAGCTTTCCTGGGGTCGAATATTACATAGGAGGCAAATTGAGTGCTATTGAATTTGAGCCGGATTAAAAGTCGTGTTTCCGAATGCGAGCTGATTTAATTAATTTGAGCAGCGCACAAAGGATTCCCCTACTGAAAATCGTATACGATTCTTATTATCGCGTTTTACGTTAAGGTAATTTACGAAGAGGCGCAATTTTAATGCTTGCCCTAGACGCAATTTGGGTATGCTACGCCATTGCCTTAAGGGCTAGGCGATGTGGAAATTATCAAATTTAAAAGTGGAATCATGCACATACACATTTTGGGAGGGCAATTTTTAATGTCGTATATCTAATTCAAGCAGCGTCCGTGCATTCGCATTTGACAATATTTTGGCGAAGGAGACCGCAAAAAATTCCCCTTATGTGATGGTTCCGTCTGTCCGTCTGTTCTTCGAGTACGAAAAGAGAGGGATGTCAAACTTTCGCCAATGGATTTCTACGAGTTCAAGGATCAGTGTTAACTGCTATTGAACATGAGCCGGATTAAAAGTCTGGTTTTCGAATACTCTCCGAGTGGCAGAAAATTCCCCTACCGAAAATCTTATGCGATTCTTCGTATTTTGTCGCTTTCGTGTTAGATGAGGGGATGAACGAATGCTCAAGAGAAAGATATAACCGGACTGTTATGAAAAGAAGATCGTCCCTAAACGAATTTCAACGAATTAATTGCGAAAACTTTATTCTCGTACTTAATAATTCAAATTCCAAACAGTCTTTCCGCACCCTGTTGAATTATATGCACGTTTATCTCACATCACAAAAAATGTTAAATGATCGGGTTATAGATTCTATGCCCCTCATTTCAAATTTGAAAAATAAGCCTAAGTATCGAAAGAAATTGGCCTTTGTCATAGGTAAATAATATAATTGTTTTGCCTTAAAGTAAGTAAATTTGACGGAAACCTCCCGAAATGTGCCTACGATAACCGACGGACAAGTAATAACCATTAATTTTTAAAGGGGGTGCACAAATGTATAATAGAAAATGCTGTAATTTTTGGAATTCTGTTGCTTTTTGTGCAGTAAGCGTTAATCCTTTCTAGGGTGTGATGTATGTTTTGGCAGGCGCCACGAATAGACCACCCATTAGAGAACATAATGTGCCTGCCATGAAATGTCAAATGTCACGTCATCTGCCTTGTAAAATTGGTTAACATACAAATATCTAATTACAAGAACAGCATATTCGTTGACAGCGCCGCCGCCACCCCTTTTACATCGGAAAATAAATCGAAACTCTTACCATTGTTTGATGGCGGTAATCCGTACTGATAATTGTAAAGGATGTCTTGAGGAGGTGGTGTGAGACCTTCGTGTTGCTCTTGCACTGGGCTTAACTTTATGTAGGGGGACGAGAGGGATGGTTCACCGTAATGGGGTAAAGTCGAGGGTGCGTTCCAATCTCGATCACCCTGCTGTTGGTACACTGAATAATCGTAACCGCTAAAATGCGAACCGGATACTGAGGGTACTTGCGCTGGGGGTGCGTTAAACGAGGGACAAGAAAAGTCCTGGGTCGTCATCAAACCTTGGTGATCGTAACCAGTGGGCTGGTTCATTACGGCGCCCATATTGTTCGCGAAAAACGACGGAGTATGAAATTGGGGTTTCATCGCCTGACACTTTCGACGGAAACCGCGCGGCCGTCTTCGAAACGAGCCCTCCTCGAACATAAACTCACTTGATTTGTCGAGGGTCCAATAATGTCCTTTTCCCGCGCGTCCCAGTCCTTTGGGTAGCTTTATGAAGCATTCGTTGAGCGATAAATTGTGACGCACTGAGTTTTTCCACCCCTGGTACGCGCCGCGAAAAAACGGAAAACGCTGCTGGAGGAACGTGTAGATTTCACTGAGTGTCAATCGTTTCAGCGGTGAATGCTGAATTGCCATCACTATAAGGGCGATGTAGGAGAACGGGGGTTTTTCTGGACGACGGATGCCCGATTTCTTCTCGGTGGTGGTTGCCGGTTTCGGTTCCGATGTTGGTGCTGTGCTTTCGGGGGTAACATGTTGGTTTTCCAAGAGGTGTTGGTCGGTTGAAAGGATGACGCTATGTTGGTGCTGATGAACGTGGAGGTGATGGAGCTGCTGGTGGATGTTGATGCTCTGGTGGACGACGGATTGTTGCAGCTGCTCAGAGCAGCTAACCTCCGGCAACTGTTGTTCCTTCATCATATCGTTTGGATTTCAATGGGTAAACATTTACTTCATAGGTTTAAACTAAATCCTTGTCCAAACAATTTAAATTCTCAATGACTTAGTGCCTGGCGTCTTTATATTACAAACATTTGATACGCGAGTTGTATACACAAATATTGTATACACAGTTTATATACAAACACGCGACGATTCGTACACAATTTACTATTTCTATATACAAATGTCGAGACCGTAAATTTTCAGTGATATTAAATGCGATTCGTTCGTTTCGATTCGGCTATTCTGACTGAGTAAAGAGCTTTGAGATGGATATGCCCGGAGCGATACTTGCGGCTGAATCAGACGTACTGTTAACGTGCTCTATATGTGGGACGGCGCACCGCCCGAACCCCCATCTTCTTTCACAACATTGGTACCTAACACCAACTTCATCTTTATTCCTACTTTACGTAACATTGAAAAGCGAAAAAAAAATCGGTTTAGGTAATTACGTCGCCCGTCCGTCACTCATACCAATAGTAAACCGCAGCATTTACCTCTTCCTTATTTACATGTCATCGCTGGAATGAAAAGTCCCAAAGACTCATCCTATCTCATCTATAAGTGCCGACTTTCAAAATTCCATTTTGCAGGTTTTCCTGAAGAATTTTTGACCGTCGGTTTTAGTCACGGCGATCAGTGCGGTTTGGGAAAAAAGCAGAGTAGGTATCTCTCTGAGCCTTCGGCTTTTCAAAATGCCACCAAATCGTGCAAAAAATTAATCGATCAAGGCCTTGCTAATTGATTACTTAATTCCCGAATCTAGTTTACGACAAAAAATTCATTTTCATGTGCGTACACTAAGTTTATAGATCACATTTTCGATCATTTCCATCTGTGTCTAAGATAGACAATTTACAGTATCTCTTTAATGAGCGTAATGTCGATTCCGTAATTATAATCGATCGCTTCTCGCTCCTTAAGTTTCAGAAGTTCAGAATTTTGTATACACAGAAAAATCCCACTTTATCTCAGAAAGTCAAGCAATAAAACACGAGGCAAAACATTCATCTTGATTTCCCATCACATTTTTACGTCAGTAATTTTTGAACCAGATAAAAACAGAATGAATATTTATATTTTTGGCTGCAGCACTCCTTGGCAGATCTTTTAGCATTTAGAGGGATAATTCTTTTGGTTCAGACGCGCAAAAATTTCTGTTTACGACGCTATCAAGGTATTGGTTTCTTTAAAAGCGAATACAAGATAGGATCTCCAACAATTCCTATAAGGATAGGTATAGCTCTTTTTGGAATAGTTTCGTATTCTAGATGAAAACTTCGTCCATATAAGTAGAACAGTAAGGAATTTGTTTAAGACTATGTTCGGAAATTATCGAAAAAATTCATTCAGATCAAAGGACCCTTTCCTAATAATTTTAATACTTTTTGCAGAGAGCAAACGTGTCCAGGCACCAATACATGTTTAGTGTAATTTTATTATTGTAAGACGATTCAGCTCGGTAAATTTGCCTCCGAAATTTCTCCCCCCGAATATTCGCCCCTAAGGAAACTCACCCCACCGTAAATTCGCTTCCGACAGATTCGCCTCTGGAATACTTTTCCAGGAAAATTGGCGTACGGAAGATTCTCACCCCTTAAAATTCGCCCCCGAAAATTCACCTCAATCAAATTTGCTCTCAGACAACTTTTCCCCTGAAAATACGCCCACGAAAACTTCTCACGCGGCATAAAAATTCACCCCGTCGCGGCGTCGGTGCCCGCAAATGCTCTCAGAATATTCTTTCATGGAGAATTCGCTACGAACTCGCTCCGAGGCAAATTTACGTTCAGAAAAGTTGGGCCTTAACGGATTTTATAAATGAGAAACACAACTAAAAGCCTCAATTAAATTCCATCTGAGAGTATCTAACATATTACATATATGGCGGATTGACAATACACTGAACTTCGCTCTTGGACCCCTCCCCCTCCTTTCCCTTGCGGTATAATCACTTAAAACGGCTGCAAATGTTCATACGGTGAATTCGCTGGTCAAGTACTGCAGTGGGATTTTTCCAGGGAGGAGAGGGAGGTGAAAATCTGAAGGCGAGTTTTCTTCCAGATTTCCGCGCAATGAATGCCCCGCGCGCGTGCATTTTCGAAGGTCGAACGATTGGGGGCGCAGGTTCCGGGGAACAATTATTTCTGGGGGAGGGGTGTCTTTTGCGGACGAATATTGCGGGGGAAAAACTTCCTAGGCGCGATTCTTAAGCGGTCGAATCTTTCGGGAGCGAAAATTTCGGGGGCTAATTTTGCAACAATTTACATGACATTTCAAAAGGTGAACATCTTTTTTCACAGAATATGCAAACGAAACTGTACTTTGATGTTTTGTACCACCCGCACGTTAGTAAGGGAGGTATTTCATTGGGGTAAAAAATGACCCCCCCACTTTTTTTACGGAAATACACGTTTTAGAGCACCAGGAATCCGGATCAAACAAAATCTCGATGATGTCGATCGGTCTGTCGATCAGTCTGCTTGTAGGTACTCTCACGGCTGAACCGATTGAAATCAAATTTGGTACCCATAAAAGGAAGAGCTGAAAAGATTTTGGGTAGACGAATACGCAGGGCTGCGGGTTGTATCTGTGCTAGCCACAGCAAATTTTTTAAAAGTGCCTTACCACAGTCTCAAATAGGCCATAAAAAAAACAGATTTTTAGATAGTACGAACATTACAGAAGAAGTAGACTTTCTCGAAAAAAACTAAACAATAGACAAATTTATACCAATTTAGGTACCTACAGTTAGCAAGTTGTACCATATTTGGAAAAGTATAAGAAATTTCAATGCAGAGCAAATAGCTACCGAAGAATATTTCTACCAAATTAGTTCCAATCGGTTGAGCCATTTAGCGAGAGTTTTACACACGTGTAACTGCGCGATTCTCCCCAAAAGCTTTTCATCTCTTATGTCTAAAAATATGACGAAATTGGGCCCCAATCGGTTCAGCCGGAAATGAGAGTACAGACGGACCGATAACTCAACATCATCCAGATATGGTTTGATTCGGATTCCTGGTGCTTCCATCTGGTATTTCCGTCAAAAAAGTGGGGGGTCATTTTTTACCCCAATACCTCCCTTACTAACTTTAAGATAAGGACGGATGTTCAAACAGCTAAGAGTCGAAACGTTACCCTGTTGCCGGTTCTCAAAAACCGTTGCGACGGAGCATGGGAGGAGTACTTTCCGCTGTATCTACCCATATAGAAAAAACGCACCCGACGCCGGGTTCTCTGGGAGGCCGTTTCGGTTTTTCCGATCGGCGAATAGACTATGAAAAATTTGGTGGGAGAGCGGCATTTTTATTCAAACCTTCGAAGAGAATCTATGCAGGTTGAACACTGCATTTTTTCGATCGTGTATTGAGTTCGTAGCCAGACCTTCGAGGCAAAACTTCGTAACGTAAATGCGACAATTTTAACTCGAGTAGCAATTGTTTTTCAACGGAAAGCTTCAAGACGAGTTTATATAATCGAGGTACAAGAATAGTATATTAAAGTACAAGTGTCATTTGACGAAGATTGTCGCACGAGGTAGTTTGCCACATAAGCCGCGTAGCGGCGAATGCGGCAAAAGCCGAGTGCGACAAGTAGACAAATGACACGTGTGCTTTATATTATTTTTTCTATTTCGACTTTATTTTAAATAATAAATTATACAAATTATAAATATTGCCTTTAGGCGTTGTTAGGTAATTTTAAACTATCATTCAGTGTATGTTGGTAATAGACACAATTCATTTATTTTCACGTTGGTTAACCTGATTCCTGTATTTTCAAACTTTTAATTATTTGGTCATAATTCCATTTTGCGGCAGTTATGATGAATACGGATGACAAACACGTCTCTTGTACCCCACCAGAGACCCAAGAGATTGCCAATGAAGCGACGTTAAATTTACTGCTTGTAAAATCGAAAGTAAAGTACGAGGAGTACAAAATTTTTGAAAACTGACTGGCCGAGAAGGGAGTTCAAAAAGTAAGCAAGAATGTACTGCTGGCATATTTTACTACGCTAAGTAAAAATAAAAAAAGTTCTACCCTTTGGAGTATATATTCAAAATTAATCGAAATTAATACAATCGGTCAAGTTCCTCGTACGTTATTTACACTTTACAGGTTATGTTTAGTTTTGATTTGACGGATACCGTTGACGGCAAAAAGTGAGGGGTACCAATCCAACAAAATAAAAAAAAAAATGCGTTCCTATTTCTTTCAGCATCATTTCTGTCTAGAAACGCACGCAAACTGGGCCAATCAAGTACGGTTTCGGTATTGTTTCCACATCGAAATAGAAAACAGATTTTTCAGCCGCGTAGTAGAACGTATTATTCTATTGCGAAGTTTCTCATCATTCCGCAAGTTCGACAAAATTTGTTGCTGGGTGCATTTTAAATTCATTAGTCGCAATTTCGAGTTAACTAATATAAAGTGGGCTATTTGGTATTATTACGCGAGGGAACATTTTATTTTCGGTGCATTATTGGATTATTGTACTCACGCTTAAATAAATTGTTACCACGAAAGCGTTGGAGTTCAAGGTGCAAACATAGCGTTGCGCTATTTTTCAGGAGTGCCAAGTTACATTAAAAAAAACAATTATTAATCAAAGTTGTGTACCTAATTTGTTTATGCGAGGTGCTAATAACATTATCAATAAAACGGCAATCGGTAAAAAGGTTTAAGACAATTAAATCCTGATTTTCTTGGCTATCGAGCTGTTGTAACTTGTAAGGGTAATTTTGGACATTTCATACTCCGGAACATTGGTAATTTTTCTGTAAATATAACAAATTATAACTAATAAATTGTGAGGAACCTGAAGCTAGCTAGCAATGTGTAGTATCCACATTTTTACCTGCTGATACAAAAGTCCGATTGTATTGTAAAAAGGGCGTTCCATCATCCAATTTTTCTACTCGTTGCTACCTTTCCAAGGAATCGACCGCTTTTTGGGATTTTAAGGGAGTTTATCCCGTGAACTAATTTGTGTATTGTTTATGAACGATAAGTGAACCCAAGCAGAGATATTGGTACAGTTTTTGTCATTAATTGATGAAAGTGAATTTTAGAACATTCACACCATTCTCTTGTGTGTTTATTTAGCACTCAGACGTGTGTAAATTTTTGTTTTGAATACGAATTTCGTACCGAGTCTGGAATTAATTTTTGAAAAACATTTGATCAATCAGTGGTAATGGTAATTGGAGATCTATTGCAAATTTAAAGAGTGGTGGGGAGGTGCTATTTTCGAGAAGGGTAAA